ACGTGCTTGTATAGGTGTGTTTGTAGTATATGCTGGGTATGAACCTTTGACTTTGTTTGTTGGTGCTTTGATGGCAATCTAGATGCCATGGTTGTAAATATTGGATAGATGCCATGGTTGTAAATATTCTTAGCATGATGTTTTTCTCAATTGTGAGATGTTTGTATGCTGTAGCAGTAGTAAGCTATGTGTGTGGACAGGTTCCCTTTCTCACTTTGATGAGAGAAGATGGATGTCTTTGAAATCCTTTCTCTTTCCCCAGCCCTGTGGTCTCCTTAGCAGTGTGAATTGTATTGGCACACTCTGTTTAATTTCTGAGATAGTAGGTGGGCTTGTGGGAGGTAATCAATCTCACCCTGTATGATTGAGTCAGTAACTGCTGTAATGGGCTATGCAAATTGACCTGCCTGTCAGTAGGTGGCACTTGCCAGAAGGAACGGTCTGCAGGGTTGTTTTTGAGTGCTGTGACTGGCTCTAGTCCCTCAGGTAGAGAACTAAAATGTCCCAGCTGTTGGGTGGGGCGCTGGAACTTCCAAATGAATCCTTATTCTCTGCCACAGAGGAAGTGGGTGGGGGAGTGAGGCTGGCCAGAGCTGGGTTTGGTGAGCCTGTCATCAGGCTCCACAATAACTGGTAAGGTAGCTGTTTCAGCAGGGGTCAAAGGTTTGCTCCCAGCTTCTAGGGAATGCCACCAGGGAGGGGCTGAAGTGTTCCCACCCAACCAGAAAGTCTGCTTGTGGAGATGGGGCTGTCTGAGATTCACAATCTGGCTGGCTGGCTCCAAAACTCTGCCTGGCCTGTGTATCTGACCCACTAGCATGTGTCTCCACGAAATGCTGGTGGGTATGGAGCACCCACATCGAGTGTCCCAGGTCCCCTATACATCCGCAAAGGAAGAGGTGTGGGCCTCGCTCTCTGTGGAGGCCTCGGCCTGGAGAATGCACCTGCTGAATAGAGGTGGCCACTCACCAAATTTTTGGCTCAAACTTCTCTCTCAGTTGGAATGGGTTGGGGAGGGGCCACAGCTTCTGGTCTGCCCGAGTACCTGAATGTTCCACCCCTGGTTGCTATGGCTGCTGGGGCTGTACTCTTCTTTGCCGCAGGATCCACCTAATCCAACAGGGCAGTTTTCCCAGAACTCCCTGCTGTGTGCAGTAACCCACTCAAGTCTGGAGTGCATGGGGTCCTGCCTGCTTGTCTGTCCCTCTGGTGTGTGACTCCATAAAGTGCTGGTGGGCAGCTCCCAAATCGGGCACCCCGGGTCCATTGCAGGATGGGGCAACATTGACTGTCAGATTTCATACCAGCATGAATTGATGGGAAGCCGGATGTCAGGCACTGGCTTTCAAAATGCCAGAATATAAAAGGTTGTAGGCTGAGGTACCAAATCTCACAAAAGCCCATGCTATCCTCAGAAGGTTAATTTAAAAAAAAAAAAGGTCTCTGTTTTTGCCTGTTTTTCTTGGATACTAGAATTCTAAATGTAGGGGTATGGGAGAAGTACCGAGATGTGATTCACACTGGAAATCTGTACATAAACCTTCAATTAATCTCCCTGCTTTTGGCCGCATTTCTCATTCTCAACTCTGAGTCCAGCATTCTTCATGATTTCTAACAGGCAAATCCTGTCCCACCCTCTCCATAGCGCTCTGTGGTGCACTCATCCTTCAGCACACCTCCATATGCATTCCACCCTCCAAAAAGTGTTCAACTTGCTTGTATAATTGTTAGCAAATCTTATCCTCCACATTCTTAGCTAGTGTGGTGAGGCTTATTACTTTCTGCTACTTGTATTGTTCTATTTCAAAGAGTCTCAGGAAAGAAGAGAGATGGGTTTAAGTGCTCAGTACATCATCTTATACTAGTAGTTTGCTGTTGCTTCTATTTTTTTTTATTTCTTGGTGGAAAGTGGACAAATAATTCAAGTTAAATAATGGAATTACTTCCTCATTACTCCTACAGAATTGCTCAGCTGCAACCATCACCAGCTACTTTGTACCTAAAAAATCTGAGGTCCACTAAAATTTGAAGCTATCAGTGAGACTGTGGTAACATGACTATAGATTTGTGCTGAAAAACTAAGGAGGATTCTAAGACTTTGAAAAGACTTATTTTGGAATTGGTCTCATTCATTCTACAATATTTGATAAGTAGCTATAATAGGCCAAATATAAGGGCTAAATCCTGGGAAGGTATGGAAATAAAGATGAATAAAGTATAAATCCTACCCTTGAGGATAACATAATCTGGTGAATAACTTGAGTTTATATAGCATTTTTCAGTTTATAAATCAATTTTACCTATGGTGGACTCTTTTTTTTTTTTTTTTTTTTTGAGACAGAGTCTCACTCTGTTGCCTGGAGTAGAGTGCCGTGGCATCAGCCTAGCTCACAGCAACCTCAAACTCCTGGGCTCAAGCGATCCTCCTGCCTCAGCCTCCCGAGTAGCTAGGACTACAGACATGCGCCACCATGCCTGGCTAATTTTTTTCTATATAGATTTTTAGTTGTCCACATAATTTCTTTCTATTTTTAGTAGAGATGGGGTCTCGCTCTTGTTCAGGCTGGTCTCGAACTCCTGACCTTGAGCGAGCCACCCACCTCGGCCTCCCAGAGTGCTAGGATTACAGGCGTGAGCCACCGCGCCTGGCCTTATGGTGGACTGTTGACACTTACTGATTTACCGTTCACAGTTTAAGCTACTTCTCAGGGACCCGGTGATCCATGACATGTAATAATTTATTCATTTGCTTAGGAACGCGTTTGAATCGCATGCACTGTGAGATTGTGTGGCTGATGTAGTTCCTTGTGTGGTGAAAGAACCAAGCTGACACTGGTGGATCTCAAAGAAGCTTAGGCATTTGTATTTGAATTTATTACCACCTTCTTGAGCCATTTGAACTCAACGGGATACAAACATAGGATAGGTTTATTTTTCTCCTATCATGTCCTTTAACAGTGCTCTTTCAAATCTCCCTTTTTGCTTTGACACTTCAGATTACATAGGTTTCAGAGAGATTCTGTTGTTAAAAAGTTCAGTGTTGCCCAATTTAAAATTTCAACCTCATGTCTTCTAATCCTCCAGCTCAGGTTTGACTCTTCAAAGGAACGTAGAGTAGGGGAGAAGACCTTGTCTGCCATTTCTCTTCTCTTCTCGCCCTTTCTGAGTCTAGCTCTTTCATCATGTTGTGAGGGTTGGAAATTGAAGAAAGGGGATGATGTCTGTTCCTTTCCTGGCCACTGCCCATTCTTACTAAAGAAAGAGGGACTGGGTTGCTTGTGTGAATTTCCTTTGCTGTTGTTGTTGTTACTGTAGCTAAGATGTAACTGATCAGCCATCAACACCCTCACTGCTGGCTCTCTCATGCAGTACAGGTGGAAATTTTCTGAGGGAGTCCTCACTGAATGGTTCTTTGATATGGGACATAAGCTTTGATGTGCTCTCTTCCAAACCCTTTTAGCTCTGTCCCTGGTGATTCACCTCCACAGTCTCTGCCAGTTGAGGTACCGCCAGGGAGGCTCAAGTCCGTTTACTGACTTCACATCCTACCTTCACTGCTGCCCTCTTTCTACTCCACTGACATTTTTTAACTCTCTTGTTTCTCTCTGCTCCAATGGGTACAGAGGGCTGACTAGCTGGTCTGCCACATGAGAGCTTTTCAATTAAAAAATGAGATGTTGGTCTGCCCTTCTTGCAGGCACCTTCCATCTCTGTGAAAGATTCTCTTAGAGTCCTCTATAATTTGGAACTGGGAAGAAACGATCTGCCTTCTCCTCAGTGAGGAGGGAAGGGAAGGTCCTCTTAACTGATCATTGTATCTTGCCAACTCCACTGGCTCTAATTCATCTCCCCAGCTTTTGCTTGTATAGACAGAAGTGGGAGGGGGTAGAAGCAATGGAAGGATCTTGCACCAATTTTTTGTGGAGGGCTTTCCTTACCCTTAGATCTGGATTCTACATACTGATTTAGAGTTGGTAGGAAAAGTACTACTATTCAACAGCCCATTATACATTTTATGCTATGTATGTGGTCACATTAATTAACTGGGGACTTGACAAGGTGCTGGGAAACATTCTTCCTGAAGGGCTGTGTTTCTTAATATATGGCTTATGGACCTCCTCTAGCTGAGTCTACTGGGGAGCTTAGGGGAAGAGATGCTAATTCCTGGGCCCCACATACAGATATTTGGTCTCCTGAGGTTGAGAAAGACTCAGGAATCAGGATTTTCAACAAACACTTCAGGTTTTACTTATGCATATTAAAGTTGGATAACCACTTGGCTTAAGTACCAACACCTCTGTGATGGTATTATCTTCATTTTACTGATAAGGAAATTGAGATTCAAAAGAGAACCATGACTTGCTAAGTAGCAGAGTAATATTCCACTTAAAATTAGTGATAATGAATATCAACCTTTCCCATTACTCTGTCACTGACTATAATTTTCAACAGAGAGAAAATATCACTCAGTTTATTTATTTTTTCATATTAGCAAAGTAATGCATATTTTATATTAGAAAGTCCATAAAAACACACAAAATTAACCAAATATAATCCCAACATTCAGATATAATAATTTGGTTCTGCATGTTAGACCTGTTTTATAAAATTAAAATCAAATTATGTTTTAATATTGTTGAGTAAACTGTTTACTAAAATTAATGTGTTGTGAATTTCCCCATCCATTAAACACATTCTTTAACATTATTTTCAATGGCAACATAATCTTCCACTTTAGGGATTTATAATCTGTATAATTCTGTATTTAATCAATCCCCTGTTGATGGACAATTTGATTATTTCAACTTTTTACTACTACAAAAAGGTACTTTAAATGTTAGGAATCTTCAAGGGAAGCTGGGAAATATATTGCAGCTGTCTAGAGGAAGAGAAGCCAATTTTTAAACGTCATATATCGAAAGCATTTGGAGTCTGAAATGATATGGAACATTTCCATGGTCGTTAAAAAGATTATTTTGTGTTGTTTTCTTTCTTACCAGGAACAAGACTATTTTGTTTTACTTCAACCTGCTAAGCTGTGCCAGTCCCTCTGTAATGGTAAACCTGCAGTGCCCTACCACACAGGTAAGGCAAAAGATACCTCACTTGTGGTGTTAGCCACTCTGAATATTCTTGGATAAAAAGAATTCAGAAATTCCGTTGGAGTTCTGCGTGTATGGTTAATTAGGAATTTGTAGAGGATGGGAAGGCATAAGTATGAACTCATGTTCACATACAATCAAAACTAAGCAGAGATTAATTATTTAAAAAAATTATTTTGGAAAAATATCTGAAACGAATATAATAAAGAGATAATATCCTGGAAGAAGAGGGCTTCAAGAAGGCTCAATATTGGAGTGAGAGGTTTTAGACCAGCAAGGGGTGTAGCTAGAACAAACCATCACAATTTGTAGAGGATGGGAAGGCATAAGTATGAACTCATGTTCACATACAATCAAAACTAAGCAGAGATTAATTATTTAAAAAAATTATTTTAGAATCACTAAGAAACCTAAGTGATTATTTTGTCCAACATCTACTTCTGCAAATAAATCCTGCAGCCCAGAGAAATGGAGATATTTTTCCCTAGATCAGCATTATATTAGGAAGAGTAAAGCTAGATGCTGCAACTAATAAGCCCCAGCTTTTCAGTGACTTCACACAATGACACTTATTTTTTGTCCACATAACAAGTACACAGCAGGTGTTTGTGGTCAGTGGGTTACTATTCTCCAGGCTCCTCCATCTAGTAGCTGTGCCATTCCTTAAGTTCTCCTCGTCATCTGTATCCAGCTATCAGGATGAATAAAGCACCCCTGCTCTTAAAAGCCTTGGATCAGAAGTCTCACACATCACATTTCTACTCATGTGCCATAGACACAAACTAGTTTTATACAGTCACACCCAGATGCAAGGAGGAAGAAATCCAGCAATGTAGTTGTGAGCTGAGCAGCTTTTTCTATACCATGGAATGAGTGGAACAAGAGGCACGAACCTCAGTGGACAGTTAATTATATCTTCTATAGTCTACCCTTCCGGCCTCTAGAACAGAACACGCTGCTTCTTCCCAAAGGAGAACCCAGAGTCCCATGTAGTACAGTCTTAACTCAAAGTCTAGGATCTATGGATGATGCATAGTTCTCTTCATCATGTCTTGACACTGAATGTACAATGAGTAGCAGGGATAGGAAAATTAGAATACGAGCTCCCATTCAGAAAGGGAGGAGTGATCAATACATAGCAGTTTCTGGTGCATGTCAATGAAGGAAAGTACTTTATTTGACCTGAATTGTGTTCTCTGAGGGGAACTCCCTTATCCATTGCATCCTATAACCCTTTGCTTGGCCACGTGGCGGGAGGTCATTTTCTGTCCATTAGCCTCCAGGCTGTACCATTCCTGAGCACTGAAAAGTACGCCCTCTTAAGGACCATACTGCTTTGAAGCTATTCCTCCAGATGACTGTATGGCTTGATCAGTGATCCTCTTCCAGTCTTTCTGCAAATGTTACCTTCTTAGTGAAGCCTTCCTTAACTACCTATTTAAAATACAAACCCCACCAGGCCACTCCTCTATCTCTAGGCTCCTTCCTAGTCTTCTTTTTTTTTTTTTACCTTTTATACCATCTTATATTCATTACTTTATTACCATTTTATAACAAACATTTTACTTGCTTATCATGTGTTATCTGTCTCCCCCTACTAGAAGTCAAACTGCTTGAGGGCAAGGATTTTTATCTGTTTTGTTCACTGCTGTGTCCCCAGTGCTTAGAATGGGCTCAGAGTAGGTGATCAGTAAATATTTATTAAATGAAAAAACATTTGTTCTAGAGTTCTGTTTAAGTCCATTGTTTCTTTGTTTATTTTCTGTTTGGAGGATCTGTCCTGTTCTGTCAGAGGGGTGTTGAAGTCCCTGGCTCTTATGGTGCTGCTGTTTATCATTTTGTTTCAATCAAGTATAATTTGCTTTATGAATCTGGGTGCATCTGAGTTAGGTACATAAATATTTAGAATTGTTATTCTTGTTGAATTGTACCCTTCACGATTACATAGTGACCATCTTTGTCTTTCATTACTTTTGTTAATTTGAAGATTAAGTTTTCTGAAATCAGAACTGCCATGCCAGTTTTCTTTTGGCTTTCATTCTCATGGAATATTGTTTTCAATCCCTTCACCTTGAGTCTGAATGCATCACTGTGGGTTAGATGTGTTTCCTGAAGACAGCAGATACTTGGCTTGAGTATATTTATCCATTCAACTGGCCTATGTCTCTTTAGTGGGCAGTTCAAGCCATTCACATTTATTGAAAGAATTGATAAGTAGGACAGATTTCGGTTTGCGCTGTTGAGTTGAACTTTGTTTTCTCTCTTGAGTCATTGTGGTATCTGACCTTTGACCTTTAGCTTTTGGATGATTTTGCACTGGTGAGTGTTTATGGTGCTGATCTCTGTGTAATGCTGTTCTTAGTACTTCCTGAAGGGCAGGTCTTGTCTTGATAAATTCCCTTTTTTGCTTACCTGAGAAGGTCTTAGTTCCATCCTTTGTATGGAACCAGAGAAGACCCCATAAAATAAAAGCAATCTTAAGCAAAAACAACAAATTGGGAAGCATCAATTTACCAGACTTCAAGCTATACTACAAGGCTATAGTAACTAAAACAGCATGATACTGGCACAAAAACAGAGACATAGACCAATGCAACAGAGCTGAGTACCCAGATATAAAACCACCCTCCTATAGCCATCTAATCTTTGACAATGCAGACAAAAACATACACTGGGGAAAAGAATCCTTATTCAATAAATGATGCTGGGAAAATTGGATAACCACATGTAGAAGACTGAAACAGGATCCACACCTCTGACCTCTGACAAAAATTAACTCATGGTGGATAACAGACTTAAACCTAAAGCATGCAACTATAGGAATTCTAGAAGAAAATGTTGGAAAAATTCTTAGTAGACATTGGCCTAGGCAAAGAATTTATGAAGAAGACCCCAAAGGCAATCACAGCAACAACAAAAATAAATAAATGGGATCTGATCAAATTAAAAAGCTTCTGCACAGCCAAGGAAACTATCACAAGAACAAACAGACAACCTACAAAATGGGAAAAAATATTCGCATGCTACACATCTGATAAAGGGCTGATAACTGGAATCTATATGGAACTCAGGAAAATCAGCAAGAAAAAATCAAACAATCCCATTAAAGGGTGTGAAAAGGACATGAACAGAAACTTTTCAAAAGAAGACAGACTAATGGCCAACAAACATGACAAAATGCTCAACATCTCTAATCATCAGGAAAATTCAAATCAAAACCACAATGAGATAGCACTAAAATTCCATGAGAATGGCTTTTATCAAAAAGTCTCAAAACAACAAATGTTGGCGTGGATGCAGAGAGATAGGAACACTCTTACACTGCTGGTGGGACTGGAAACAGTACAGTTTGCAGTACAACCTCTGTGGAAAGCAATATGGATATACCTCAAAGAGCTACAGGTAGAACTACCATTCGATCCAGCAGTCCCATAACTGGGCATCTACTGAAAGGAAAAAAAGACATTGTATAAAAAAGACATCTGCACTAGAATGTTTATAACAACACAATTCACAATTGTAAAGATATGAAAACAACCCAAGTGCCCATCAATACATGAGTGGATTAATAAAATGTGGTATATGTATACCATGGAGTTCTACTCAGCCACAAAAAACAATGGTGATCTAGCACCTCTTGTATTATCCTGGATAGAGCTGGAGCCCATTCTACTAAGTGAAGTATCCCAAGAATGGAAAAACAAGCACCACATGTACTCACCATCAAATTGGTATTAACTGATCAACACTTAAGTGTATATATAGTAGTAACATTCATAGGGTGTCAGGCAGGTGGGAGGAGGAAGGAGTGGATGGGTATATATACACCTAATGGGTGCAGTGCACACTGTCTGGGGGATGGACATGCTTGAAGCTCTCACTCAGGTGGGACAAAGGCAATATATGTGACCTAAACATTTGTACGCCCGTAATATACCAAAAAAAAATAAACTTTAATATATGCATAAAAAATGAATAAACAAATGAATGCTTGAAGGAGGGAATGACCATCTTCCTATTCCAAGTTCAAGACTTTTTCTACGATACTACACAAATTCATCATTCTTATGATAAGGCCAAAAACCTTACACATTATGCTTTTTTGTTGTTTCATAAATGATTTGCTAGATTGTCCTTTCTTCATAGCAAATGTAGTATTTTAACCTTCAGTGTAACTCACTCTCCCAGCCACCAAATTCTAATTTGTAATCAAGTATTAAAACCTATCTGAATTAATGATATAAAAGGAGTAATACAGAACTACATTCAAAATGCCCTTTATGGTGCACAGAGAATCAGAACTGAGTGAGAATATATTTTAGCTTCCAATAATGCAGACTTGCATTTAGTCTGCCAGGCAATGATGTTATCTCCCAATCTGAACCATATTTTTATGCATTATGTTTTTGTTAACTTCCAGCATGGTCCAGACATGTGTCACAAGCATTTAAAGGACAGATTGTAATCAATTAGGATACCCAACCTCAATGTGACCTTCATTTTGGCTAATTATATGTTGATTGCTACTAATCAGCACCCTATTTGAAGTGAACAAATTGGTCTGATAGAGGGAGAAAGTAAAGAGCACATGCTATATTGTTTTTTAATAGCTCATTTGTGTCTGGAATGAAATTCAATGTGATTCTTTTTAATGAACCACTTTTTACCATTTTAATTACTTTCTTTTATGTGTTGCATACACAGGACTTTTAGATGTGTAGTATGCATTGTTTGTGTGTGTGTTTATAAATACAGAAATCATCATGGTCCTAACTCAGTAGTTCCTACCATCTTTTAAAGCCTATGAAAGCATTAGTGCCTTCAGTATTCACTTTTATAAGTCCACTTAAATGTATCCAATAGAGAAAGTAGTTAAGTTGTTTTTCAATGTTGAATGAGTAAATTGTCAAAGTCTAAATGTCTGTAAAGTATCTCCTAATAATGTTCATGGTTTATTCAGCTTGGCTCCAATCAAAGTGAAATGTTGACAGTTGCATCGATAAATAACCTTAACCTTCTTCCAAAAAAAATGTGTGTGTGTTGGGTGCTGTGAATGTCCCTACATAGTTCTTCAGCTTTTTTAGAAAGATACCTGTGAGAACTCCAATATTTCCTCTAGAGGTGTGTGTGTGTATGTGATTGTGTGTGTGTGTGTGTGTGTGTGTGTGTGTATGCATATGTGTGAATAAGAGACAGAGAAAATACATATGGAAGTGTGAATGTGGAGTTGGGTTGTTTACCTTGTCAAAACTTCTAGAAGGCATTAGACTGCTTCTGCTACAAGACAATATTAACTTTGAGATTTGAGACATCCATTTAGCTATTCTCTTGCTAACTTAGCTGCGGGGCTGACACCAAATGCCCTAGTGTGCAGCAGGAACATGACCCATAAGGTAGAAAATAGATGTCACTAAGCAGCAGTGTTTTTACCTAACTGCCTGTGGAGGTCGAGCTCCAGGGTGGACTGGTGACAATAATTTCCAAAGTGCAATAGGGAGATGAAGCAAGTTAGGTTGAGAAAGATTTCACCAGGAGGCACTGAAGGTGATAGAGGGATTTACAAGGGTTGACTGCAACATACATGGATTAATCTGACCTTTCTTTGTTTTTTAACTTAAACCAAAGCAAAACCAATAGAGTACATCTTCCCCAATTCTGCTTTCTCTCTGTAGAGTTACTAATCGGATGTCAGTTATTTCTGTGGTGGCTCCATGGACTAACACAGTGATCTGGTTTGGCACTGATAGGCCCCCGAAATTCACTAATGTAAAATAATTACATAGATGACCTCTCTGCCCACATCTAGATAGTGTTGGTAAGATACTATAATAATGATTGACTGTGGTAAATAGCCCTCATTTTGTTCATTTCTTGTGGTGATAAAACCTCAATTATGTTTTGTGAATTGTTACTGAGAATTCACTGGCACCGATAATTATTAGTTGCAGTTGTCAATATTCAGAGCATTTAAATCACCATTTTAATCATATGTGGGAAAAGAAGCAAGAGTCTAACTCTGAATATGTATAAACTACACAGACAAAATTAAACTTGAATTATATTCTTATCTACTAATTCAGAAAATCATAAAGTATTTTATCAAAAGTCAATAATTGTCCTGTGGTAGTGGTCACACAAGTCTATACATGTGATAAAATTGCATAGAACTACACACATACATAGGCACACACAAATGAGTGAATGTAAAACTGATGAAATCTGAGTAAGGTGAGTAGATTGATACTGTGTTAGTCCTTTTAGTGTTGCTATAAAAGATTACCCGAAGCTGGGTAATTTATAAAGTAAAGAGGTTTATTTGGCTCACAGTTCTGCAGGGTGTTCTGCTTCTGGTGAAGGCTTCAGGCTGCCTCCACCCATGGAGGAAAGTGAAGTGGAGCTGCCATGTGTAGTGATCACAAGGCGACAAAGGAAGCAAGAGAGGTGGGCGAAGTGCCAGGCTCTTTTTATCAAGCAGCTTTCTTGGCACCTGATACAGTGAGAACTCCCTCATTACCAGGAGAATGACACTGAGCCATTCATGAGCGATCTGCTCCCATAACCCAACAGATCCCATTGGGCCCCACCTCCAACATTGGGGATCAAATTTCAACATGAGGTTTGGGAGGACAAATGTCCAAACTAAGACAGTAACAATATCAGTTTCCTGGTTGTGATATTGTGTTACAGTTATGCAGATTATTACCATTGAGGGAAACTGAGTGAAAGGTATGTGGAGTCTCTATTATTTCTCATAACTACCTGTAGATCTACAATTACCTCAAAATCAAAAGTTAAAAATAAATCTAGCACTGTACAGCATCTTGTTTTAACACCACATCAACATCAAAGAGCAAAGAGTAGAGATTGGTAACTAGTACATGAAATTTCATTTTTTATAATAAGACTAGAAAACTGATTTAGTTTTCTTAGATGGAAAACAGTGCTTTGCTCTTTATTGTGGTGGATAATTTAGAAGTCTGATCTTATAGATACTTATTTTGGTTTGTTCAAGTCAATTCAATTCCCATCATTGTGTTCCTGCACAGATCTGTGTCTCCAAGTGCCCAGAAAAATTTTTAACCTATATGGAAATGCAATTTTTGTACAAAAAAGACAAAAGCTACTGGGAAGACTACCGTCAGTTCTGCAAGACTAGTGCTAAGCCTGTGAAGGTATGTGTGTTTAAGCTTAAAAGTAGAGAAGAATTTAACTTTTATTTCAATCTCAATTGTAATGTGAGCATTTGTTATTGGACAACCTCCCAAATCTTCTATGAAATGATTACTAAAGGTACCATTCCATTAAAACACAAATGCATATGTATACTCACAAAAACATACACACCATTTATAGCATATCATTTTGTAGACTTGGGGTATTATGAATGACTGTTACTTCTGGTAAGTTAAGCTTCAGCTATTTCCTGACACCAGCAAATTCTCTACTTGGTGCATTTTTTGCTCTTAAAAGCTAGGAGTTAATGTCATTTGCAGCTATCATGTCATTAATGTGATGATGAAGCCCCATAGCTCCTTAGTAACAAGTAGAATTTTACTTCCAAGACCAGTTTGATAAGAATGCATTTAAAAAACCCCAAACTCCTACCTAGGTTTGAGATTTGTAAGGGAATTCTAAATTATTGTTATGTTAAATAATATTAATGGTTTTGTATTAGAGAAGATGCTGTTTTTTTCCAGGAAAAAAACGAAAGATTGGAGACTCAGGATGTGGTTAAGGCAAAGTCGCATACCTGCAAAGATGTGACTTGGTTTCAGAGGGTCTGGTTTGGTTATTGTTTTTGACTGAATTACAGTTAGGACATATAAGAGTGTCAAGCAAAAATGTGCATATGATAATCTTATAATGACTATCATTAGAGGAAGTAATTTAGAATAATGAGATTATTATGGAGTTAAATTTGTAAAGCACAGCATTTTCGTATTGAGCATAAAGGTAGTCATCGCACACCCTTTCAGATGTTAACATTCTCTACCTTCCATTTCAGTCTCTCCCACAGCTTTTACTGGATGATGATTGTCCAACAGCGGTTTTCCCAAGCAAACCTTGTAAGTGGTAAACATTTTACCTAGAAACAAAAAATCTACTGAGAAGTTATTTAACTAAGTTGCTTTATTTCACAGTTGACAGAACTGGGGCCAAGAATGGTCCTATGACTGGCCCTAGGTCCCAGCGTTGATCAGGAGGAAAGTCAAAGGTGAAGCCCGTCTCCTGGCTCCAGCCAGGGAGGGTTCCCCAAGAGCTCTGTGAGTCTTGGGATTTTGCTACATGAATACACAATCACAAAATTGAAAACTGATTTTTAAAAGCTCAGTCAGACTGATTATTTGGTGCTTTAGGAGCAGACATAAGCACACACACAGACACACTCATACACACCCATTCCTGAATCTAGCCAAAAAATTTGCTCAGAAATTGCCTGGGGAGTAGGAGTGGGACATATGCTTGTTTTTATAACTAGAAATTTGAAATGTTTATATAGCCCCTGAATAAATCAATATTTTATTTATTTAAAATTATAAACTTTACTTAAGGTGATAATCTGAAAAAAATGAAATAATCACTCATTTTCCTGTCTTATGGTTATAATTCTAACTACAGAGAAAAACTTTACATAAAAATGTCTGACACAATGTTTATTTAAAGTAGCTGCCTGCCAATAAAAAGAAAAAAGGAAAGAGAAACACTCTAATATCCAACAGCAAGAGAATACTTAAATAAATTATAATGTATTCATTAAATTAAATATTTTAGGATTATTAAATAGGAATATTAGAATAACATGCACATGTGTATACTATAATATTAAATAAAATGCAAACTCTTATAAATTGCAAGCATTTATAAATTAAAATAAATCAAAGAAACACTTATTCAAAGAAAAGTATTGGAAAGAAATATACCAAAATGTTAAGTGGTTGTTTTGGGGGTGGCGAAACTGTAGACAGTTTCTCCTCTTCTTTTTTCTATTTATCTATTTTTCCATAATGTATGCATTTCTTTTAAAATGGAATAAAGGCAATAGTCATCGGTTTGAATAGAAAGTCAAATACAACTGAAGTTGCTACCACCAAACACATGTCTTAAATACTCTCATCATTCTTCTCTGGATCATAAAAGACCCTGAAGCAAAGATGTAGGTCCCACAAGCAACAGCATTTACAGGAAGCCCTTGACAGTAAGTGCCTGTAGCCAAAACCAGTGTTACAAATTTTTATGCAAAAATGTAAAAATAAATCATTAGTCACCAAAAATATAATAGGTATAAGACATAGTCCCTGCCCTTACACGTACAGTTTGGTTAAATCATACAATAAAATGTACATTGGGATACAAAAATGAATAAGGCAAAGTCCCTTACAGTCTAGTGAGGAAAGCATTAAGGTAAACCTTGCGATCAACTTGTGTTCCTCCTATTAGGAAACTAAGTATAGTACTCAATGGAATAGTATGCAGCTAATAAAATTCACTCATTAAAGAGTTTATAAAAAGAAATAAATAATATTAAAAGAAAGTCACAAAGGAAAACACTACATGTGCTGTATGAAAAAAAAGAAAGAAAGACTGGAAAGAAATTCACCAAAATGTTAGTTCACTGTGGGTGGTGGAAGGACTATGTATAGTTTTGTATCTTCTTTCATATTTTCTCTATTTTCCAAATATGTACTGAACAGATTTAGTAATGGAAGCTAACAGATTGGATGAGATTGTGCAGAAATAATATGTGGAATAACATCAGGGGGAGGCAGTGTCTGTTAATACCATGTTAAAGGCTCACAAAAGTTAACTGATTCAACAGCAAAGATTTACAGAGTTCTACTGTGTGCCAAGCACTGTGCTGGGTAATGGGTTCAAGTAAGATGAAAATTAAAAAATATGTGGAGGTTTTGCCAATTGGGAGGTCATTGGGATTACTGGGAGTACGATTGCCACTGAGCGGTGGGGCAGACATCTGACTGGATTGAGAGGAAGTAGAAGCAGCTGGTAGAGGCTATTATGTCAAATTTGCTGCAGAAGGGGAGGGAAGAGCAGGAGGAAGGTCCGGTGGGCACTAAAGGAATCAGCCGTAACATAAGTGCGACAGAAGCTGGAGGTGGGCGAAGAAGAGTTCATTTCAAGCCAGGAAAGTCAGAAAAGACTTTATAAAGACATATTTCTTCTTTCCTTATATCAACTGCTTTAATATTTTCAGGTTTAAACTCCATATGAACCCATGCAAACCGGTAATATTTTATAAGAAAAAATATGAAAATAATCCATTTATGATTTTTCTTACCTCTTCATTTGAAATTGTGCTTTTAAAATATTTTTAATAATAGATTTGTAAAGAGGCAAAAATTATATTTAATAAAAGATTGAGCAGTGATTTAACTCTTCTCAGAAATCACACTAGTCTACAAAGCATAGGCCTCTTTTAATAGCTTTGGAATTTCTATTTCCAGCCCCTCCAAAAAAAAAACATGTAGATGACAAAGCTGAGAGACAAATTATTAAGAATTCCCAAACAAAAATTCACTTGTCTTAGTAGCCTTAAGTTTGAACTGGTTCTTATTCTGCAAGGAATTAATCACTCATTTCCAATTTTCAGGGTTTCCCTCAAGGAGCACCTAAGATTTTTTTAAAATAACAAAACTAAACTGATTCGGTCGTGCAATTTAATGTGGTCTTTTTATTAAAATGTGTTTACCATGAGTGATATGTATCAGTGTTGCTCTTAAAACCTGTGCTGTGCATCTTATTTATGAATATACTGTGTATAAAATAATCAAATGTAGAATATAACTCCAGATTGTGATATCTTCATTCTGTTTCAGTGTTAGAACCATCAGAAAATCTTCAGATCACCAAGTAATGGGCGATTAGCTATCTATGTTGAGCAATTTACATACCCAGCAAGAATTTGATTATAAGTATCAGAAAGCTTAAGAAAGGAAGGACATCTTGAAAGAAGGAGAAAGTGGTTACTGTCATTTTATTTTTACAGTTCTCCAGAGATGTTTCCCTGACTTCTCTACTAGAAATGGCAATTTAACAATAAGAAGTAGGATGCTGTTTCAGGATGGAAACGGAAGGACAAGAAGTGTTATAGAACTCAGAGAGGCTGCAAAGTATGTTTGCTCACATTCCTATTTTCAGTTTTGATGCATCCTGTTATTGTACCCAAGACTAAAGCTCCCATTAGGTTAAGGGTTATAGGAAAAAAAAAATTACATATTCTTATGAAATATACATGTCACTGTGGATTGGAGAACTTCATATATGTTCAAAAGCGTGTAAAGAAGGAGAAACCAGAATCACTTATTTAATAAAAAGAACAACGATACTTTTCAAAATGGTTAACTCTTTTCACTATCAAAAGGTATAGACACATGGCATAAGGAAATGTACTGATGCTACCAAGTTTCTCCATACTAACTATAATGCAGTAAATTTACTATTAATATTTCCCTTGGCTGCATACCTGTGGTGTTCCATGTTATTGAAGAATATATTTCCCTGGGTGTGCACACACACATACACATATGCATAAACATAAATGTACAGAGAGTTTCATTGTATAGCTCAAGCTGTTGAATTAAATATAAAAAATAAAGATATTCTAAACATTTGTCTTTCTTGAAAGGTGTTAGCAGTACAAGTAGTACAGTGCAGCTCCTGCATATTTAGAATATAATGGCAACATGGATGAATTTCAGAAATATAAAACTGTATTAAAGAAATCACAAAATAATACAAATGTGATTCCATTTGATTTCATTGATATAAAATTTAACAATCGACAACTATATTAAATTGCTCTGTGATACATATATAAATGGTAAAACTGAAAAGAAAATTTAGGAAATTATTATTACAAAAGTCAGATTAGTGGTTACTTTAGGGAATGGGAGGTGTTGCAGTTGGGCACATGAGGAAGGGGCTGACAATATTATAGTTACATGAGCGCATTCATTCTAATAATTAATCAAACTGGACAGTAATAATTTGTGTAGTTTTCAGTATGTGCTCTGTCATGCCTCACTGCTACAATGCTGTCAGGGGATTAGGAAGGGAAATTAAAGATGATGTTCATTCTTGACTTAATGGATTTTATAAGTTAAAAGCTTATCTTGTCAGTTAAATTCATTTCTTATAGTGAGGTTTCTACAATATTGAGGGCATGTTGCAGACAATGGAAAAGGATCTGTTCACCATTCCTGAAAACCGTGTTCTCTTTGTGCGCAGCTATAGCTACATTTGTAGGTTTACTGAAGTGACATTTCATGTATTGTTGTGGCTAGGAAAAGAGTCACTACTGATAGATGGCTTCTAAAAACATGCATTGAATAGCAGCTTTTAAAATTCCTTTTATCATAACAGAAACATTTCTGTTTAGTGGTAGTCAAAAAATAATTGATGTTTTTCCTTCCTTGCATTCAGTCGTATCAATAAAATCTTTGAGGCAAGGGCACTTGGAATGAAAGTGTTTGAAGACTATGCAACGACTTGGTATTGGATTCTCATGTAAGTGAAAACACATAGATGTTTCTTCTTCAGCCCCATTCTGCTTTTATCTTTGTAGAACTCTTTCTTCCAGTTCCCTATTTTTATTCATGAATAAAAGGTTGACTCAGATCATTTTCTTTTTTCAGATAGAGTGAGGATGGGGCAAAGATATTTGGAAATACACCCAGTGTTAGCAGAAATTTATAAGAATGTAAATTTTAATTTTAGTCATTTAAGTACCAATAAAAGTATTCTTATAAAAGTACTCCTTTATGTCAATGGGGAAGTACCTGTAGGACTTCTGTATCTGGAATACACGTGTGCTTCTCATCACATGTTACATTGAATGCAGTGTTATTTCACTGGTTCTTTTTTCTAATTTTTCCCTCCCTTGAGTTCCAAAAGATCACTCTTATTTTTTAATACATTCCTTCCACATAATGATTGTTATCATCATTACTAGAAGTCATTGTAGTTATGAGAAGCTACATAACCATGTATGTTATACATAAATATACGTATATATGAAGGAGGAAGAGATTTAAAATTTTCAGACATAAGATTTGGATTCCTAGAAAGTTAAGGAAATGCAGTCAATTTACTGGAGGGGGTAAAGGTATTTGACATATCTAGTACTGTTGTTATTATCTGGTTCTTGTGTCACCTTCTAGTGCTTAAAACCTTCTGTGGTCCCCTAGTGATCAAAGAATAAAGTAAAAGCTTCTTCAAATATTTATAAGGCCCTTTATAACCTAGCCCAACTAAATTTCTCAATTTTCATCTCCACCCATGTTTCTCGATTAACCCTCTAGCCTAAACACATCAAATAATGTGCCCATCCCTAGACTGTCAAATCCTATGTTTTTTGCATATTCCGTTTCCTTTCCTGGCATATCCTTTTCTGAGTCCTGGACAACTCCACCTCATCCTTCAAAATAAGTTTTAGTGTCATTTATAAACCTTTCTTACTTTCCCCAGAGATAATTGATTACTTCTTCCTCTGTGTTCTTCATACCCGTTGTGTGTGTGTATACATACCTGGGCATACACACTCATCTTCTGTATAGTACCTACCATTCTATATTTTATTTAGCCAGCTCTTTCCCTCTGATAAACTATGAACTCTTCATGATGGTAACTGTATAACTCATCTTTATTTTCCTAACTCCTATATGGTTCTGTGAACATAGGAGGCACACAGAAAATGTGAGTTCAAGAAACAGTTATAGAGCTGGGCACGGAGGCTCATGCCTGTAATCCTGGCTACTCAGCAGGCTGAGGCAGGAGGATCACTTGAGCCCGGGAATTTGAGGCTGCAGTGAGCTACGATTGCACCACTGCACTCTAGCATGCCAACCTGGGTGACAGAGCGAGACCCTATCTCCTTAAACAAACAAACAAACAAAAAAGAACAGTTATAAAAACAGTAAGGGAGCAAGAAAGATGTATTCAGATGGTGCAAAACTGTGTTGTGTATGACGTATTAGAGAGTAGTTTTTAGAGCTGTAAAATTAGATTTTATGAGATTTTACTCTTTTTGATGCTTTGTCTTAAACAATTAGAGTAATTATTTTCAGCGTGTTAGGCTTTATCTCCAGCAGAGATTGTAGTTTATACTTGACAGTATTTAAACTGGGACTCCTATTGTCAGGCCCAAATGTTACTAGATAATTTCCATGTTTCTTCTTCATTTGGCTTTTCACTGTTACCTGAACAAGTATACATTATGATAGACTCTCCTGCCCACCCCACCCCAACACACACACGGAAACCTCCTCCACCAGGACACCACTCACACCTCTAGACCATCAACACCTCCCTTCATTTTCGATCTTCTGCTCTCATCTATTTTATAAATATAAAGCCAAAGTGCTAATATGCTGGGACTTCGTTTATTAAGTTAGAATTTTTATGCAAGAATTTAAAACACACAGAATAAACAGTTCTATTTCCTTTTTTCTCCCCTCTGATATTTTTTAATATTCCCTTTGGACTATGCTATAGAATAATCCTTCAACCATATTGAGTATTTAAGCATTAAAGTGTCTGTGATTTTAAGAGAGAATGGCTTTTGAAGTTATTATAAAAGCTTTGGCTTTGCAAGACTAGGACAGTTCGATACTGTGCTGTTATTAATATCTGTTCAGTAACAGTAATTACTGAGATTTTTTTAAAAAACATAACACTTGAGACAATAAACTCAATAAATTTACCAGGCTCTGTCTGTTGTTATGTTTGGAAACTTACAGGTAGCACCAGAAGTGTCAGTTCTTAACAGAAGGGTTGGCCAAGTTTCCAATGCAATGAGTCCTCTTTGAGGAAGTTACATCAGAAGACTCCAATATGACCTTAACCTGGATATTTGCTGGGGGTGGGAGAAGAAGCTTCTCTAGCAACTCAGTCAAACTCTAGGAAGAAATTGAAACAGACAGAAAATAGTCATGCTATTAATTGCTCAATAAAGTCACATGGCCCAGGAGACACAGAAGACTTACCATGGCTCCAAATAATGGCCCTCAGATCACTGGGGACCTGAAATAGATGCTTGGTGATGTCAGACATCACAAACTACTGGAAATAATTGAACCATAGTGATAATGACTACAAAATCATGGGTTCAGGGTATGGGCAGTTGTTTTTCTTGTATTTCTGACCTGAGATTAGTCTGTTACTTCTAGACAGCCATATGGCACAAGGTTCCCACTAGTCACCAAGTAGATAGAACGGAACAAATTCATCATGGATATATTTTACAGTTTATCACTTAGTAGGTAGCTATAAAAGGAAAAAATAGGACATGGCAACCATGGGAGATAGATCAAAATTGTAGGTTGGAGGGGTTGTATTTTTCCTTGAACAATGACTGATACTGGACTTCAGTTTACCTAGGCACACAAGATGACTCATGTATAAAGTCCCGGATGGTCTACTCTTTCATACAAAAGTCTTGATGGAGACCACTATTTATAATGTTTAACATTATAAATGTTTCTATAGCCAGGTAAAATAAAACAACCTGAGAATCATTCTGAATAGAAAAAAGTGTGTTGTCTTGATGTTTTCATTATGCTATGCTTAGCGCACTTGACCCCTGTGTTTACTGTGGTTTTTTTTTCTTTAGTGGCCTGACTATCGCCATGGTCCTTAGTTGGATGTTTTTGATACTCATGAGATTCATAGCTGGATTCCTCTTCTGGATTTTCGTGTTTGGTGTGCTTGGAATTATAGGATATGGTAGGTATCACTCCCCTTAAAATTGCTAAATATTAGAATAATCTTTTTGTTTTCAGTTGCTGTTATCAATTACCAGAAAGCATTTACTTGCTGTGGGTTTAATTATTCTTTACCTCTACAAAAGCTTTAAATTTAGAAAAATTATTTAACTTTGCATATATTGTCTCTATAACTTTTTTCTTCTATATCTTGAAAAAAAGTGCTATCAGAATGTTCTCCTCTTTTCCTTACCAGCCTTTGGTCTCATGCCTCATAGGTCTTAAAAAGGAAGTAAAAAGAAACCTTTTTAGATTAATGAAAAACATTTCAGGCAATCTCTTTTATTCCTTTAACCTTCCTATCTGATCAAAGACCAGGTCTGCATACTTACAGAAGTGTGATCTATTTTTCTCTTTGAACTTAGATAGTACTTTTAATCCTGGTACTGTCGCACCTTTTAGTAATTGGTACTCATGGTGAAGCATCGCCCTCTAGAGGCAGGTATTCTGAATTACACCCGTTGTATGGAGAAGCACTGTCCTTTATTTCAAGGTTGGAATCTAACCCCTCACTCAGTCCCCTCAAAAGCAGTACATGTAAGGTCTGCACAATGTGAACACTAAATGAATAAAAGTGTCTCCCATGGAATAACACTTACAGGAGCTTCCTTTCAGTCTTCTAAAAAATGTATGGGCTAATATGAATGTTTGAGAAGTTTTTATTCAAAATAATGATTTCCCTTACAATGCCATTTGGATGGACAACACAGTTTTATGGTAATAGACACCAAAAATAAAAATCTCCTATTTCTATCACTCAAAGAAGAACTTTAAGTGTATTAGGGTAAGAATGCAGTTGAATCCCCAGGCTGTGTAGTTAGCCTGGGTTCTAATCCAGTACCATAATGTACAACTGGGTAACTCTGGAAGTTTCTTAGTGATTATAGGACCTAGCTTCCTTATCTATAACATCAGCACAATAATGGTCTGTCCATCTCAGAAGATTGTAAGGATTAAATGAGGCAATGAATATAAACAGTGCCTGGAACACAGCAATCAATATGTGTTGGGTTTTTGCTGTTGTCCTCCTCATCATCCTCAATGAGTTTCTAGTAAGTCACTGAAGTCTTCTCAAGCATTCCTTATCTGCTCCTGCTGCGCAGCCGCTCAGGAATCGCACCTGGACTTCCTCCTGAGCATAGCCAGGTAACAGATCATATAATAGGTGGAGCAGTCTGGTGGAGGAACACAAGAACTGCCATCTCCTTAATCAGAAACTCCAAAGAAAGCTTTTTGTTTAAATGTCTTGTTTTTGTGTTCCTGCTTGGAGCTCAAAATAACCCCTGCCCTTTTCCACTGGAGAGTTTGGGCATGTGATTCAATCACTCTTTTACTTTTATCAAGAAGAGAAGGGCAGTAAAGTCTGCCATTGGCTTCACTGAATTGTCTTAAGCAGCAAGAATAATCTGAGATTGGCTATGGTGCAATTTTGACAATGGAAAAGGCGGAAGATGGTTAATATATAAAAAGTGCAGATAAAACAACCGATTTCAATTCCTTATTGACTCCCTAGTTAATGCTAACACTGCGATTAATGGCATGACAAATATTTACTGGGTGAGGAAATGTCCAGTTTGGTTGGAGAGTGTCAGTTACCGGGTGTAACTGACCTCTGCTACTATCTTGGACAACTGACTTTCTATATTTCATGGGAAATCAACCATTTCCTTCTGACAGCAGCCCATTTACTAGGGCAAAGAACAAAGCAGATATGTCATACTGAGCAGAGAAAAAGCCAGACTGCTTTTGGCCAAGTACTCATGCACAGTGGTGGAACAATTTTCATTGACCAGAACAAGTTAAGTGGTACACAGAAGAGGCAATGTGACAGTGTGCTTATGAGCATGGATTTAAAGGATGAAAAAGGGACAATCCCAGATTTACCACGTTAACCATGGAATCCTCTGCAAATATGTAGTCTCTCTAATTCACAGTTTCCTCAACCATGTAATAGGAACCTGTGAGTACTGAACAAAATAATGTATATAAAGTACTTAGGAATCTGCTAGTATATAGCAAATGTCCAGCAAATAGTTATCCATTGTTGTTGTTGCTGTTATTGTTATGAAGAAATATTATTGAGGAAAAAGGACTGAAGCCCAGGGATCATAACTTAAAAAAAAAAATTAGTACAGGAGAGAAAGCAAAAGAAAAAGACATTGGAAAATATTGCCTGGACTTAGTCTGAGGGAACTAAATAATCTGAAGGGCCCTTTTGCTATGAATTAATGGCATAAAAAAGAGTATTGTGTTGTACTGTTTTGTATAACAGTATTTTGATGAACTTTAGGAAATAAAGGAAATCTTCCCCAAAGAAAAAAATGTTTAAACATGTGAGCTAAAATCAAAGTGGGGAACCAAACAGGAAACACGTGTGAAACCCTGGGTGGCCCAAACCAGTGCGGGAATCAGGAGACTTAGAGTAGAGTCAGCAGCAGAGCAGGAATCACAGCTGAAACTCCTGGAGTAAGTCTGGGATCCTGTAAAGTGTCTAAGTGACTTCAGTTTGGTAGTACCCTTTGACTGCCAACAGAAACAGGTGTAAACCCTCTCTAGATGAAGCTTCCTCAATTTAGTTCACCAAGTTTCCACAGATTCAGATCTACAAAATCTGAGATTACTGAACAAGCAAGAAAACAGGTCCGTGTGTGTGAAAATCAGTGGAAACTATAAACAGCAGACTGAGCTCTCCAAGAACTCACATATAGTAATTAATAGATACAAATATGAAATAACCATGCATAAAATGTTTAAATAATTAAAGATAGAATTACAAAAATAGAAAATCAACAAAAATTTCTAGGCATATATGAAGATGAACCGAACAGAACTTTTCAAAATAAAAAAATGGTTAGATTAAAAATTGATAAGTTAAATGGAAAAATACAGAATTAATGAACTGAAATACGAATCTGAAGTAATTATCCAAAATACAGCAGAATGTGACAAGAGGGCAAAAATATGATTAGGTGGTTAAGAGAGAGAGAATAGGTGGAGAAGAGCCTGATCTATATCAGCCATTTTTGAAAGTTATTGGCTTAGAATTTTCTAGAACTGATGAAATATATGGGTACATTTCCTGTATCCATAGATACAGGAAGCTCAAATTATTCCAAGGAGAGTAAGGGAAAAGAAATCCATATCTAGTCATACATTCTTTTATTCATTCAACAAATATCAAGTGAGTAGTGTGTGCAGGCACTATTTTAGACTCTTGACATGCAGTAGTAAGCAAACAGGCAAAGTTCTTACTCTCTTGATGCTTATCACCTAAGTGGATTATATGTCAGAGGTGATGATTGCTATGGAAAAAAGAACAATTGTAACAATTAAATGGGGATTGAGAGTGCCATGACAAGGAGTGACGATTGTAGTATTAATAGGATAGGTCTTTTTGAGAAGAGATCTGAGGAAATACTTGAAGACGACAATGGACTTAGCCAGCGGAGATGAGGGAAAAGTTCCAGACAGTGGATACAGCTAGAGCAAAGGCCCTAAGGTAACAGTATGTTGAAGAAACGGCTAGAGGGCTGGTGTGGATGGGTATACTGAGTAAAGGAGAAAACAGCAGATGAGGTCATAGAATTTTGGGAGGGCCAGAGCTTTGTAGAACATTGTAAAATCTAGGCTTTTACTCTGAGTAAAATGGGGAGGCATTGTAGGGATTTGAGCAGAAGAGATATGTGACGTGGTGATTGCTCCAGTCTGTGTTGAGAACAGACTACAGTAGGGCAACAGTAGAAGCAGTAGGACCGGTGAGGAGGCTATTGCAGTAGTCCATGTGACAAATGAAGGAAGCACAAACCAAGGTTGTAGCAATGAGGATGTTTTTAATGTATAACCAGCTGTATTTTCTGATGGATTGAATGCAGCTGTGGGAGAGAGTAAGGAGAAGAAGGAAAATGATTCAATAAAAGTACATAACATGTAAGAAAGGATGGTGAAAGAAAATAAATTAGTAAACATGTAGGTAAATCTACTAAACTGCCTGTATAAAATAATAATGTCCAATTTTTTAGATTAAAAGTGCACACTAACCAAATTATTGAGCAATAATCAGAGTGGGGTGATTATTGAGTGATCTAAAATCCAGGCCAGGAGCAGTGGCTCATGCCTGTAATCCTAGCACTGTGGGAGGCTGAGACGGGAGGATTGCTTGAGCTCGGGAGACTGAGACTAGCCTGAGCAAGAGTGAGATCCTGTCTCTACAAAAAATAGAAAAATTATCCAGGCGTGGCGTGCGCCTGTGGTCCCAGCTACTGGGGAGGCGGAGGCAGGAGGATCACTTGAGCCCAGGAGTTGGGAGTTGCAGTGAGCTATGATGACGCCACTGTACCCTAGCTGAGGTGAAAGAGCAAGACTCTGTCTCAAAAACAAAACAAAACAAAATAAAAAAAGAAAAAATTCTATTTCTTTGATAAAGTATTTTAAACTTGCTTATTAAGTACACACATAGCAAATTTTCAAGGGTAATCTATTACAAAAATAGATAACTCTAAATCAGTAGAGAAGAAACATGGAATATAAGTAAACAAACAAAACTCATCAATTTTTAAAAGACAAGAATTGGAAGAAAATTAGTGTAGACGCAAAATGGAACAGGATAAGCGAAAGTAAGACGGTAGAAATAAATATATTGATATATTAAATATAATGACTTAAATTCACCAATTAGAATACAGAGATTGTCAGATCAGATTAAAATATACACATACAAATTGGAGCTGTATGTTATTTACAAAAGTTACACAACACATAAGGAAATAGAACCTTTGAAAGTAAAGGGATTGGCTGGGTACAGTGGCTCACGCCTGTAATCCTAGCACTTTGGGAAGCTGAGGGGGAAGAATCGTTTGAAGCCAGTAGTTCAAGATCAGCCTGAACAACATGGTGAGCCCCTGTATCTATAAAAAAATTTTGAAAAATAAAAAAAAGAAGGGATGGTTAAAAATATATTGGAAATCATTAAGAAAACCACAGAAGCCATAATAATATCAGACAAAATAGGTTTTAGAATAAAAAGTATTAGTAGGGATAGAAATGATTGAATTCACTAAAAAAGTTACAGTTCTAAACTTGTATGCATCTATTAAGATAGCCTCAAGATTCATAGAACTGCAAGGATAAATAAATAAGCCAATAGGTAATAATTGGTATTGGGTATAAATCTCCCATAGGGAGAAACTTCAACACATCTATCTACTGGATAAATATACTATAATGTACTTAACCAGTCCCTACTGATGGACCTTAAGATTGTTTCTAGTCAAAAGGATATTTAAAACCAGATGTTGCCACAGTAATCCAGGCAAATACTGAAAATATTCATATCAAATACAGTAACACATTTAGACTATTAGGGACAAATAAAATATTTACTGTGTAAATGTGTATCTTTGTACAAATGACCATAATGATCAGTTTCATGTGGATACATATGATAAGCACATAGCTTCTATTTCAGAAAAGAATATTTTTTATTAGTCTGTTTTTCTTTTTTTTTCAAGGAATATGGCACTGTTACCAGGAATACTGCAATCTTCAGGACCATCCAAATGCTACGTTATCTATATATGACATCGGGATTCAGACTAATATAAGCATGTACTTTCAACTGAAACAAACATGGTTCACATTTAGTGAGTAGATTTTAAAAACTAGTTTTGTCAAAATTTTAATAATGTGAAAGTATATTTTTGCTTAAAGGAGAGCTTGGATTGGTGTAACCTGTTAAATACACTTATCACTAATGCCATAAAAGGTAATATGTCCACGATCCTCTAGCTATAGTAAATTTATTGTATAATCTAAGAAAATACTACTTTACAATGATCTCAAGCCATTTGCCTTCAACTTAATATTATTTGGTTGTGGACATTTATAGACATTAACCTGATGTCTAAGAAAGATATTTAAAGCAAATGCTTGATTTTTCAAACTCATTTTTAAAAAGGAAAAAGAAAAAAAACATTTTTTATAACGAGACATTTTAACTATTACAGAAATTGTAAGTAATAAGTAACTAAAAATAAATTTACATTTTTGAAGTGTTTATTCAAACTATTGTATATGTTGGGGTAATATTAACAAAATTTTTAAAGCAAAATGATTTCAGAGATGGCTTTAATCTCATATTCCTAGAACAGCTCTATTATAATATTCCTTGCACTTGATAGATACATATTCTTTAATCAAGATTTTAAAAATAATCTCTAATTACATGTTGCTTTAAAAAATTCACCTTTATATTGTGGAAGTTAAAGAGCCAGGTGAGACATATTCCAGGAAGCCTGGTAAGGAGCCTGAAAGAACCTCAGATGGGGACAGTATCTTGCTGGGGCATCACGATTCCAGGCATGGGACCCATCTCATAAATTTGAAAACTTGATTTTGCTGCTACATTCAAGAATCCTCAGGCTTTCAAAGACAAGTTCATGTTATGTCACCAGCGTGCCATTTTATTTGTTTGTACCATTAGGATACTTTCCCAGTGACTGAAATGCAGACATATCACATCTAAGACACTAATGTCCTGGGATCCAAGCATAGGGGAGTAAGATTACCTATCAGGAGCTTTTTAAGCAAAGGGGCTCGGACAGCCTTGGGGCATGTTTTCTTCAGGCTGTTGCCAACCTTGATAACCTAGCTATGCAGCACAGATGACCCCACTAGATTCCTTTTGTCTGCCAAATTTAGATTTTCTCTTTTCCTTAAATAATGCTGGATTAAACTGCCAAATTCTTTTTCTCTGGCTTTCGATTTCTAGCCCTTATGCAGACTAGTACACTTCACTTACATTATTTTTTCAAATATGTTGCAGAAGAACTGTTTCATTTATAGCTTTTTCTTTTTAACTGCAAAAATCAGGGATCTTGGGAATTGCATCCCCCTCTTTTTTCCTGAATTTGAGTGATTCTACATCTCTAGCAATTAGCTTACTCTTATGTATCATTTCTAAAGGTGATCACTTTTACCCATTATATATTGGAACTCCTAGTTTTCCTCTTGGATGGATCTTAGTCACAGATTCTGTGGTCACCTCCTGCTGTCCTATAAGACCCTTCCACACAAAAATCATTGAGATAATCAGAATCTGCCATTGGAACAGTGAAGAGATGTACTTTTAGGAAAATACAAAACTTACTAAAATTTTCTAATCTAGCAATACTAATCACTCCTCAAATAAGCCTCAGCTTTTATAACTGATTTATCAGACATGAATCGATCACCTGCTCCGTGTTTGGACAAATTCTAGGCAACAGAGACAATGGAATATATGTGAAATTATGCTCATTGACAGAAACACTGAGAATAAGCAGAATTATAAATACAAAAATTATAATTTGCACCTAGATTATGTTAGGAGATGGTTCTATTCCCATCTCTGCTAATAACTAACTTTATGGCCTTGGGTACATCTCTTAGCCCCCAGATGCCAGTTTCCTCCTCTGTTAAGTTACAGTTATACTAGCTGCTTTATAGGGCATCAAATATATTCTATTATTTGCTCTTATTCAAACAAAAGGGGGGAATATAGTACAATCATGTGTTGCTTAATGACAGAAGTACATTCTGAGAAATGCATTGCTAGGCGATTTCATCCTTGTGTGACTATCAGAGTGGACACAAACTTAGATGGTGCAGCCTGCTACACAACTAAGCTCTGTGGTACAGCCAATCACTCCTAGGCCACAAACCTGTACAGTGGGTTACTGTGCTGAATACTGTAGACAATTGTAACACAAAGGTAAGTATTTGTGTACCTAAACATATCTGTAGAAAAAGTATAGTTAAAATATGGTATAAAAGATTAAAAATGGTAACCTCTATAGAAATAGGACACTTACTGTTAATAGAACTTGCAGGACTGGAAATGTGAAGGCCTAGGACATTCCTGCACATTACTGTAGACTTTATAAACACTGTACACTTAGGCTACACTAAATTTACTTTAAAAAGTTTTTTTCTTTAATCAATAATAAATTAACCTTAGCTTACTGTAACATTTTATTTTATAAACATTTGAATTTTTAGGCCAACTCTTCTGTAATAACACTTAGCTTAAAACACACATTGTACAGCTGTACAAAAATATTTTCTTTCTTCATATTCTATAAGTATTTCTCAATTTTTAAAATTTATTTTTATTTTTTAAACTTTTTGGTTAAAAACTAAGACACAAACACACACATCAGCCTGGGACTACACAGGGTCAGAATCACCAATATCACTGTCTTCCACCTCCACATCTTGTCCCACTAGAAGGTCTTCAGGGGCAGTAACATGCTTGTTTCTCTCATCTCCTGTGATACTAAAGCCTTCTGGAATACCTCCTGAAGGACCTACCTGAGGCTGTTTTACAGATAACTTTTTTTTTAATAAGTAGAAGGAGTACACTCTAAAATAACAATTAAAAAGTAGAGTATAGTAAATACATAAACCAGTAGTCATTTATCATCATTATCAAGCATTATGTACTATACATAATTATATGTGCTATACTTTTATATGACTAGCAGCACAATAGATTTGTTTACACCAACATCACCACAAACGTGAGTAATGCATTGTGCTACATTGGTTATGACATCACTGGGCCATAGGAATTTTCCAGCTCCATCATAATCTTATGTGACCACTGTTGTCTATGCAGTCCACCGACTGAAGTATCCTTATGCAACACATGATTATATATAAGTTAAAAAAAACAGTTAAATTTATCTAATTTCACCATCTTAAATATGCAATTTTATAAAGGTAGTATTTTAATATACAATATTTTTAACAATGCAGTTTCAGAATTTAAAGTGATGATGATATATTTTATTTTCTTAGGTTGTCCAAGGAAGATAATGACTTTAGCATAATCTATACTTTATACTCTACAATTTGGCTATCTATACTCTACAATTTTGGACTCAAATTAGTATTTTATAATAAAAGAACAAAATGGGCATAAAAACATAAACACATAGTTTAACTATAATAAAAGAAAGTGTAGAAACATGATGATACATTACTAAGATCCTCCCATAGCTCTAGGTTAACTGATTTCTACTTTCTTAGAGATATTAACTGATATGTGATATAATATCAGAATTTTAGTGGTTTAACAACAGAACGAAATAATGATCTCTCCATTAGTGGAAATGTTGAAGCTTGAGCAGAATAACCATCTAGCAAGGAGGTTATAAAAAGATTCCTTCACTGGTGGGAATTTAAGTTTCTTTTATACTTTCAGATTCTGTTATTGGTAATACCATATTTTCTTGATTTTGATAACCACACCTTTTCACTTTTTAACATTTCTAAAATCAGGATGCATCTTGAAATATTATTGAGTAGATATTTAATGAAGACTTTCTTTACTTTTCCTAAAAACTTAGTACTAAATTAAAGGTGTGTCTTAAAATTGAGGAAATACGACAGTTGATACAATTTGGCTTCAAGTTAAAAAGGAAAAAAACCTAATTCAAGCTAGCTGAAGAAAAAAGAAAATTGGAGCAGGCTGTGGGCAGAGCAGGAGATGTTTACAATAAAAATATAGAAGTGTCTCATCAAATTCAAAAAAACAGAAAAGCAACTAGTCTTTCAAGTTTACCTGGATCCAGGAAACAAAAAGCCAAAAAGAACTCAAGATTTCCTCTTGTTGCTGTCTTTCTTTATACACATACACTTTATTCTTTGGAGATTCACTCACTTCACATTAAGATGGTTTTGACACATTTTGTGTAACACTCACTTCAAGATTTATAAACTTCAAAACTAAACCAGGGGCCAAGCACAGTGGCTCATGTCTCTGATACTAGCACTTTGGTAGGCTGAGGCAGGAGGATTGCTTGAGGCCAGGAGTTTGAAACCACCCTGGGCAATATTGAGACCCCATCTCTACAAAAAATAAAAAAAATAAAAAAATAGCTTGGCATGATGGTGTGGGCCTGTCCCAGCTACTTGGGAGACTGAGGCAGGAGGATCGCTTGAGCCCAGGAGCTGGAGGTTACAGCGAGCTATGATGGCGCCACTGCACTCCAGGCTGGGTGAGAGAGCGAGACCCTGTCCCAAGAAGAAAAGAAAAGAAAGGGGAGGGGAGGGGAGAAAAGAAGAGAGGAAAGAAGAGGAGAGGAGAGAAGAGGAGAGGAGAGGAGAGGAGAGGAGAGGAGGGGAAAGAAGAGGAGAGGAGAGGAGAGGAGAGGAGAGGAGAGGAGAGGAGAGATGAGACCAAATTAGATTCCCTTAGTTTTAATTCTTAGACTTTTAATGGCTAAGATGTGTTGAGTTTACCCTGTGATTCCATCAGTGGTGGCCACCATGGTGGGTGGAGTCACCAAGTAAAAACAAGGTGGCCAAGAGCCTGTCCTATTAATCAGCAAGGACAATTAAGAGGTATTGCAAGCAAAGCAGGCAGCCCTTTCTTCCTTCAGTGTCTACTGTCTAATTTCTATAAGTGGTGTGACATGTTTTTATGGATGAAATGAAGCCTGTCCAACTGAGATGTTCAAGTTCTAGCTAAAGGTTTTAACCTGTATTCCTTAGCATTTCTCGAAGATTCTGAAAGTGAATTTCTAAGATTGGCATTTTTGAAGAGGTAGCACTGCTTAAACGATGAGGTGCCGGAATTAACAGAAATAAGAGTAAAGCTCAGTTCTAAATTTTGCAGAGAAAGTTTGTTTTTATGTATTGATTTGTATTACAGACTGATTTTTTTTCCTGTTCAAAGTGATAATACTCTCCATCATTGAAGCGTCTGTCATCCTCATGCTGATCTTCCTCAGGAATCGAATCCGTGTCGCCATTTTCCTGCTGAAGGAAGGGAGCAAGTAAGGCCCTGAATGTAGAAACTCAGATAATGTATATCAATCAGTAAAGTCAGTCACTGTCTATTGCATAGATGTCCCAGACTATTTTCCCTTTTAGAAGACTTGTTAAAAAAAACTATTTTCCATTCAAGAAGACTTGTTCAAGTTCAGCGCTGCCACTTATTAGAAAGATCATTGCTAACAAGTCCTTTCCCCAGTCTCAATTATCATAGGGTAAAATAAGAATAAAACCTGTCTAGTTTATGTATTTGCATTTTTTAAACACTAAATTTATGTTAGGAAAATTACATATGTGAAAGTAAGCGATAAAGTGCTATGAAAAAGTTAGCTATATTACATGTTATATTATTTCCATACTGTTATATTATGTCATGTGTTAATATTAATGGTTGAAATCACTTTCATAACTTTAAATCACCATAATTCTATAAAGTCAATTATATGCTATTACCACTTCTGTATGAGAGACAACATTTTCTAATAGGACAATTGATTCTAGCAGCACCAGACCATACATTTTATATCGAAAGCTCATAATTCTGGAACATTTTATACACAGAGCCATTTTTATTTAAAAAAATGTTACAAAATAAACACTAAATCTTTCATAAAATTCATGCTGAGAGGTAATAACACCTATAGTTTCAAACTATTCCAAAAGGTCACTCGAGGAAAATATTCTAAACTTTCTAATAATGCATGGAAGAAACAAGGAAAGCAGTGTATTATAAAGCCAATAGATCATGCTTTCTATTTATTAATAGAATGATGGAAACTAAGTTGTTAATGATCAAGAACCAAATTATTTTTAATAGTATTTAAGTGTTTTTAACAAAATTACCATATTATTACTAAATAATGATAGAACCACCTGAAACCAGTGGTTTAAATAGTTAACAAGCAGTTTGTTAAACTCTCTCTCTTTCCCACAGTGACTGAAGCCCTATCATTAGCCACTGAAAACTAGTGATTTGCTGGGTTTATTTCTTAAATAGTGTGTATGATATTGTGCAGTTCACTGTAACTTGCTCTACTTGTTACGCCCCTAAATACGCACGTGTGTGATCCTGTGTGTGTGTGTGTGTGTGTGTGTGTGTGTGTGTGTGTGTTTTAAAGGGCCAATACAACTGCAGCAGGTTGATAGTTTGCTCAGGGGACCACAAGAACTTAAATAAATAGGTGTAAGAATACAGGGTAGACCTAAGGACACTCAATAATCAACAGCAGTGTGTGGAGAAAGGAGAAAATAGCATAGCTCAAACAGTGAGGTGACAAAGGTAACACATGCAAAAGAAATCTAAGTGTTAGTGCATTAGGAGTGGGAAGAGTTTCACCTTATTTCTCAGAGGCTATAGCGAATAGTATTTGCTTAATCCAGTGTCATATGCTGAAAAGATCATTTAAAAGAAGTAGTTAGCTATAGTGCGACTAGGATGGTGGACATTTCACAAGCCATGTCCTATGTGGAAATAATCAAAGAAATTATTATCC